CTCTTCCGATCTTATGATTATACATAAGCAATTTTTCTCATTTCTTCAAACTTAATTTTTTGTAAAAAAAAACAAAAAATTATCCTTTTAATTATTTTTTATGTTTCCTTCTTATTATTATCATTTTTTATAGAATAGAATAATTTTACAAAAGAAAGAAACATGTACGGATATATATGGGCATTTTGCATGTAATTATATATAATTATATAATTTTTTTTAATAAGATCGCCTAAGTGAATAACACAACTAACTTCGAGAGCGCCTTTACGGTCACGACTGGATCTTAGATGCCTAATAAATTCTATATGAATTTTCTTTTCAGTACTTTAAGATGCTTATAAGCATCGATTGATTAGAAAGATCAATATGATATTTCTATTCTAGCCTCAGCTAATAATTGCGTTTCAAGTCCGAACAATTAATCGGCGCGCAGTTTAAAGGCTGTACATGGATTTCAGAAAAATTCATATAGCATTTATTAGGCATCTAATTGTAAGATCCAGCCGTGATCGTAAAGACGCTCTCGAAGTTAATATAATTATATATTTTTATATATGTTCTTATATGAAAAATTGTTGACGTTTTCGATGTGATGGGAGCGAGAGTAAATTCTATATGAATCTCCCAAAGCTGAAGATGATTCGAAAGTCAAAGTGAACCGAAACGTTCAGTGGAGTAGACTGCAAGTATGGAATAAGGATCTGTAATACAAGATATCAAGACTATATATGCGCCTTACTTACCGCACCGAAAACTCTCATTAGCCTTTTGTTCTTATTTTATTAAAAATCACTTTTTGATCAATTATGATTCATTTTAATGTCATTTTGATGTGCGTGACCTGCTGTTCTGCTTGAGACATGACTAACAGTAGACGTGCTTACACATTCTTTAAATTTTCACTCTGCAAGCAACAAGCGAATTATCATTCTGGCGTTTATATCATTGTAGCTTGACCAAAATGTATGATATGGGCATACGCAAGCGACAGCTGAAATTCTGGTCGGCGAGGAGACCGTTTTGCCCGAAAAACATGCTAGTCGCCGAACCGCTGTCGATCCAGGAAGCTACGCCCGTTTTAGTGTTCGTTGGTATTGCCACCGTGTTGTCTATCGTGATCTGCATAATGGAGAACCTTATTTATTGGATCTGGCCCCGGTAATGATCCGTGTTGAAAAGCTGAATAATTAAGGGAAAGGGATAGCGAATTTTTTAAACTTTTTATTCGTTTGGTCTGTTTTTTTTTTTACAGATTATCAATATCTACCAACGGACTACGGAGCAAACTGCAGTGTTGTCCGACGAGAAACGACGCACCAATTTCGCCGGGCGAAATATTCTCGCGCGAATGATCAAATAACATGTTATTATTTCTATACGCCACTTCCATATTCTGACGCTTGTTCAATTAGATTTTATCACGGACAGCTTGTGTGTGTTTATTCATTAAACGTACGTGCAAATAATTGATCACCATCGTGTGCGATTTGCTGTAGCTCGACAGTGACACGTTCTCTAGTTTTTCATTCCCCCGACGGAATGTCGTAGCGGAATGTAAATAAACGATAAGGCACGTACGATTTCAAGATATCGTGTTTAATATTGAATCGATGCTGAAAAATTCAAAGCACGTTGCAGCCGACCCGTGCAAACTTAATCGAGCTGCATTTCTATTTCGGTTAGCTCTTTCGTTTCTTCGCATTCATGTGTGCAGGTTCGCCGTTCCGCAGGACTTTTAATTACTTTTCCCGCAGCGATATGCGTAAATTCAAGCACGGTGGAGCGTATGTGGCACTCTTCTTCGCTCTATTGCGATTCACTTGCAACGCTAACCCGAGAGACAGCGACTTTATTCGCGACTATTTCGTGAAAAAGGCAGTGCGAAATGTTGTGGGATTCTCTTGCGGAGATTTCACGAGTAGGTGAAGCTATAGCTTGTAAAATATGAAATCATAAAGTGCTTTTTAACAAAGCGATTTTTCATGTCTCTCTCTCTCCCTCTCTGTTTCTCTCTCTTTTTCGTTCTTTTTTTTTTATCACAGGTGATTTTTATTTCATGAAATCGTTAAGCAGAGCCGGTATATTCACGATCATCCGGAAACACGATACGAATATCAATTTACGACGATTCTTGAGCACTGACGCGTGGGGCTTGGGGGTCGTCGTGGATCTGCGTTGTCGCAACGAAAGCGCCGTGGACATCTTCGCCGAGGTAAAGGAATATTATACACCGAGAGAGAAAAATATAGTTGGAATAACCATGATTTTACTATAATTTATAATGCATTTCGGAGACAACTATAAAATTATGATTAATTTAACCATGCAAATTATAGCTGTTTTAAACAATGCATTATGATTATACATTATAATTGATATTATTTTTTCGTTTAATTATTTTTTAGTTATTATTACAATATCAATGGTAAGCAAATGTCAAGAAAATAGTTATACTTACTATAATTGCAGTTGCATTTACTAAGTACATAAAAATATTTATTATACTTGTCTCACACATACTTGATATTTTATATTAATATTTGAAATTATTATAATTTATAGTAAAATTTTATATTTGATAGGACTATACATATAAGGCTATTATTACTAACATTATAGTAATAACAACTATAAAAATAGTGCTCCTAACCATAATTTTTTACCATGCAATTATAGTCACAAATACCAAATATTTTTCTCTTACAATCAGTGTAGAGTCGATCCTTATTGATCATCTTTATTTACACGGTACTTCCAATTCTCTTATGTAAAACGTGAGAGGAAGAAAGAATAAAGGGACTGATATATTTCATGTTTATTAAATTATCAGACTTCAAAGTACCGCATGTACGATTACTCGTATCACTGGCTGGTTCTGGGATCAAAGCTAAACAGCAGCGTGCCGCTTTTGAACGACAGCGCTTACAGCATGACGACCGACTTCGTGCTCGCGATAATAAACGGCAGCGGTTACGATCTTTACGACGTTTACAATCATTGCAAGTACCGCGGCGGTACGTTGAACGTGACGGAGCTGGGCCGGTGGCGACGGGGAGAAGGTCTTACTATCACCCTGACTCAACCCCTGGTCGAGAGGAGGGCCAACATGCACGGCATGACGTTGAAGATATCAGGCGTGGTGCGTATCGCTGAATATAATATAACGGCTCTACAGAAAAAAAAATGAGAAAACGTTTAAACATTATATTATACTGTTAGCGTATGCTTTATCGTTTTTAGATACAGTACAGGCCGAAGAACATGCGGTTGGAGGACTACATGGTCGACATTAACACCAGATCTTTGGACAGCATGCATAAGTTCATGTACGCGATGATATCTCACACCGCCGATCTCTTCAATTTTAGGTATTTTTCAGTTTTTAGGACTTCGGTATTTTTGAATAGCTAATAGTTGTTGAGTAAAAATAATTTTAAGATGCGCAAACGCCAACGCGGTACAAAGCGGATTTTGGTGCTTAATAATATTTTTATATATGAATTTTGATACAATTCTCAGTTCAAGTAAATTGCATCAATCGATCTTTAAAACGCAGCTGAACATAATATCATAATTAAATTGCCAAAGCAATCTAATAATTCGATGCTCATTGAGAATCTTTTTAATCCTGTGAAAATAATTTATGCAAAAAATATTGCCTCAGCCAAGATATAAAAATATTAATATATTTTATATAAATATAAATATTAACATACAAAAATATTATTAAGCCAAGATCCGCTTTGTATTGTGTTGGCGTTTGCACGGTCGATTCTGATACTTATAGTTGAAAATATATTTTTTTCAAGTGTACACGCTTCGGAGATAATTTACTGGGATCGTCACAGCGTGCACGGCTTGATATTCGAGATATTGCAAACAAATTACATCGACTTCGGCAGTAATCCCAGGATTATGGTATCCGAGAGATTGGAATATGCCAGCTTGATCGGCGCGGCGTGGCCGATACGGTATCGAGATCGATTTCGCTTTGCGATGTTAGGAAAACATCAATCCGATTAACGGATTAATTAATCTCGTTCCTTGCAGACCCTGCTTCATGCTGCTGTCCACCCCGTCGAACAACATCAAGCTGGAGATTTTTTTCAAGCCGTTTGCGGTTCACACCTGGTACCTTCAAGCCGTGTTCATCGTATTTTTCATGTTCGTAATGAGAATAATAATGAGACGCGAGGAGGCGACCAGAGAAGAGGAATATTCCAGCGCCGTGGTCGTTACTATCGGCATTACCGCTCAGCAAGGTAAAAATAACGCATAAATAACAAAAAAAAAGTATCATCTCGGTAATTTAACGGGTATAATCTCTTTCGTATAGGTACAAATTTCTTTCCCGAGCGTATCACGGGCCGTATCGCTCTTCTGCAGATCCTCGTGTTCAACTGGATCATGTACAATTATTACTCGGGCAGCATAGTGTCGGCTCGTTTGAGCGAACCGCTCGACATGATGGAGGACGACGTGACGGTTCTCGCGGACAGCAATCTGAAAATCGCGGCGGAGGCTGTGCCGTATCTGAACTACTTTCTATACGTACGCACGTTAATTTCCATGACACGTTGAGACACGTATACGCGTACCAAGTGAGATTCAGAAAAAACTGTACAGCGTCCGGTTTTGTATTTTCAGAAACTCAGCTCGGAATCGAATTACTTTAGGAAGAAGCGCTGGGATCCGCTGCCGGAGTCGAAGCGGTACATGCCGATAGAGGAAGGCATGAAGCAGGTGAGCGAGGGTATTCTGGCCTATCACACGGATCCGAACACGGCGTATCCCTACATCGAAAGGACATTCGAACCGAGCAAGATCTGCGCATTGACGGAGATCCATCTGTTCAAGCAATCCGTCATGGGCATGTACGCCAGTCGCAACCGTCAATTCACCGAGATGGCGAAAATCGGGTGAGCTGTCGTGTTTTTTTCCCCCCCTTGCATGTACGACGATGGCTCGTCTAATTGAGCGAGCACAGTTAAGAAATTCTTTTCTCCAGGCTGTCCAAGATGTTCAATACCGGGTTGCGCGATCGGCAGATAAAGTACTGGTCGAGCAGAAAGCCTCAGTGCACGCTCGACACGCTGTCCACGAGAAGCATATCCGTATACGAGACCGCCCCGGCTTTGATTCTGCTGGCCTTCGGCGTGCTCGTCGGATCCCTGATATGCGTCGTCGAGAATGTCATCTACTATCGATTCACGAGGTAAGCCAATTACGCTTGGTCTTGATACGCCCTAAGCGTGTAAAGCATGCGTTCGGGAGGATTATCATAATTTTGACCGCAGAGAGGCAACGCCGACGAGACGATTGAGCAGCGACGGCGGCAGCGGCGGCGAGCCTATTTACGCGGAGGCGACGGCCGGCACGAGCAAACACAATTTACCCGAGTGAAACCGCCTCGCCGCCTTGGGGAAGTAAAATATTCACGAGTCGTTCGTGCGTTATAATTGGCACATTCGTTAGTGTCTCGTTATATTTATTTCACGCGACACGCGGGACGGCGCACGCCGTTACAAATGTAATTTTTCCCACTCGTCCCAATATTGCTCTAATAAAGCTGTGAAATTCAATTTGCATTCGCAGAAACAGTCTCTCCGCAGAAACTTTCCTATGAATACTTTCGTAGAAAACGACCGGATAATATAGATAGGGGCAAATCGATCGTAACAGATTCGACTTGAGTTCGGGGTAATTGATGAAGAATAGGGACAGAAAGTAGAGAACTTTGAAACTGAGGAGGAAATCGCGTCATATACGGGGTGTCTCGGAGCTACTCCGGAAAATTTTGTAACGTTGACCGCCGCATGAATCGCCCGGACGCGGTGTTCGCCCGCGGAAAGAATTCGAGAGGCTAATCAATTAAACAAATTCTTCGTTGAAGAAGGCTCATTCCCCAAATTGGTAGGAGAATCTGACCGACGGGATGAGCGACGAGAGTGACGAGGCACCCTGTATACGGTTTGTATCACAGTAGCCGCGCTGTGATTATGCTGTCATGTCAATCGACGTTATGGATATTATGGATGAGCCCGAACTCTGCAAATCGTTTCTACTGTCTCGATTCCTGCCGCGGTCTCGGATACGAAATTATCCCGGTTTTTTATAACGAATGAAGACGAAAGGGGGTAGACGTCGCGTCGCAATTCGCGCAACCTCGTCGTAATTCGCGCCGCGGTGTACCGAGGAACAATGTGCCCGACGTACCGCGTTATTCTCTTGCAAACGTTCGTCATCGTCGCATATGCGCAAACCAGCCAGATCATTCGCGATTATTTCGTCTACAAGAAGGTGACCAGAGTGGTGGGATTCTCCTGCGGAGATGTGGATGGTAAGTCGAGCGTCGCGCGCGTTTTTTCTCCGTGTATTAAAAAGTATATAATTCTCAATAGTTCGCGCGGAATGAGATGAGCAATTCGCTAGATTCGAGTTTAATAATTCTCTTCGCGCAGAGGATCTCCTCACGATGAAACTGCTGACCGACGCCGGGATGGCCACGGCGATTAAACCGGCTGGATTGCAATTCGATATACCGAGGTACCTCGGCACCGATCGGACCATGGGCGTGTTTGTGGACATACGGTGTCCGAATCAGAACGTCAGCGGCATTTTCGACGAAGTGAGAATTTCGAAATTCCCAGTAAACGAAAATGGATTAAAATATATTGAAAAAGGTTCATTTCAATGTTCGCGAATGCATATTTCTGGAAATCCGAATCCATTTCAATGCCCGTATATTCGTTTATAGGAATTGCATGAAGTATTTTCTATGCCATTCAATCCAAAAAAGTATAAGTTTTAAAAAGAAAAGCGTGAATATTAGTCAATTCAAAATGCTAAATAGGAAATAGCTGTTTTTTTTCAATCTAATTGAGTTCAAAAAAAGTTTTTTGTGAATTAGGAAATGCATCGTTTCATTCCATCTAAATACAAGAAACATTATATTATATTAATACTACACGGAGAGAATGATTTTGCTGGATTCAGATTTGAAAATAATTTTTGTTATACAATCAAAATAATTTTGTTGGAAAGTCAAACTGATTGCTAAAATATCAAAATAATTTTGTTGAAAAGTTAAAAATGCTTATGATCGGAAGAG